TTGTTTCCACAGGAGAAGAAAAGCTATGGATACCATCAAAATTGATAAAGATTAGGTTCGAACAAGAGAGACCTCTTAATTAGAAGAGGTGATAGTTCATCAACCAGCATGACCATTCAATCTAAACTAATTTATAAGACTAACAAATGCTTTTCATTTGATCAGATATAACTTGCCAAAAGGGAAACTCCCCAAAGTTAGGCTTGGGGAAGGGTTTTGTTTTTGTCTTTTCAGGAGAATGAAGGCATCCAGCTAAGGAATTTGAAGACCATGGGACAAGTGAGACATCTGAAGAAAAAGGATGAATCATCCAGAGAAAATGTCCCAAGAAAAAGAGTAAATAAATTGATATTTCACATATCTAACAGGATAAAATTTTGTAAGTCTTCCCAAATGTTTGTTTCTGCTTTTCTTTACAGACATATAATACAAATGGTCTTTTTATAGTCCCAGTTCAATTGAAAATTAAAACTGGCTTTGGAGTTGGAGCATGGCTCTCTCCTCTAAACCTAAGCATCCTCATTAAAAGGAAAATTCAAAATCTCTGTTGCATGTCAGAAGAGCCACCTGATATGGGACAGAAGAAAAAACAAAATTAAGGGACTAAACTATTGCAACTAATCTCATAATCTTTTGGTTTTATTTTGATTCTTTAAAACTTTTCTTAAGGTATAAATATTATCTCAAAATTTGTAAGATTAATATATATTTTTAAACTTTTTGTCATGATATTAATGGTCACATAGAGTACTAACTAATTCTAGAAAAAGGATTTATCTAGCTTCCTGTATGTGATTTTGGGTTTTAGGCTCTATCAGGTAACTAGGAATTAAGTTTTTGTACTCTGAATGTACATAACAAATTATGGTCCTTTAACCTCTTTGAGATCTGCTGCATATGACATTTAAAATGTTTAAGTTTTCTGTAGTGAACCATGACCATGCCTAACAGTGACCTTTGAAGGCTCCAAAAGGATGATGGGGCCCCACAACAACAATTCCACAGGGACTATGGTAACAACACTGAGCTGACAAACACCACCCAAAGATCCACTTTGCACTATAAAGACTGCAGGACAATTTCAATGTGGCTAGCTGAGATGGTCCAGTCTCACAGACTACTCTAGCCAGGACTTAAGATAAGCCCTGTACTTTCCCGTTACAGAGACTGGACAACAAATGATACAGCTAGCTCTCCTAGGACTTGACAATTATTCCAGGCTTTTGTTTCAGGATCCTCTAACGATGCTGTCACCCCCAGACAGCAGAAGGTAATTTTAAGAACAAGATACCCACATTCCTAAGAGGTGAGGTGAATGGTTTTTGGTTGTTCAGTGGGTTATGGATATTTGTCATCATTTAGGGGGGTTGGTTAGAATTTGTTATTGGTAATGGTCAGGAAAAATGCTGAACAAAGGAGATTAGATTCTGGGATCTTGTTCTGAAAAGAAAAAGGGGGCATATAGAAATGATAGGATAAAAGGGTAGATTATTGAATCTACTTTTAAACCAAAAAAAAGTAACTACTAGTCTTAATTATTTTACATTGATTTGGATTTTTGTATATTGATACAAATTTGAGGTTATTTTTGTTATATTGTATATATGTTTCTACTTCCGTTTAAGATAGTTTTGTATATTGGTACAAATTTAAACTTATTTTTGTTAGAACATACTGTACATACATTTCTACTCTTTTTCAAGGTATTGTACCTATACAGCTCATTTAACAATGTAATATAAATTTCTAGTCCTTGAAAATTATTATTACAAACTAATTAGGATAATAAAAAATGCAGATTAATAGTTAGTTCCCTATTACAATCAAGCTTGTAGTCATGTTAGGTATGTTTTCAAGGTCAAACAACTATATTTTAGATAGACAGATGGTCTTCAAACACTTCAGAGACCTACAGAATAGAGCATGTAAGATGTTTTAACAACATAATGTTATTTTTTTTATGACAATGAGACTTCTCTGCTCCTGTCAGCACCATTCTACTTCAGAAAAGATGATGGGCATTGAAGAAACTCATATAGAATTTGCTTTCTTTGTGGCAAAAGTTAGCCACTGGGCAAGAAATTGCCTTTGCCTTGACTACTGACAGTATGCTGTCCAAATTGGACAAGCAGGACACACAAAAAACTGACTGCCAAACTTTGCCAAGACAAGGTGGGACAGTCTTTCAAAAATCCTGCTTCACAGAAAAGTCTGTCAGATAGTGTAGACCTGTAGGCTGAAGATGGATGCCCCAAAATTACAGAGGAACTTTGGATGACTGACCAGCCAGCCAGCTGTTTCTGTCATTTTTTAATTTTGGAAGTTGTTTGCTCTGCACTTCCTGTTTACTCAGGTAATTTTATATCCTTCTCAGGTCTCTGATGGAGTTGAAGACTAGACAGTTATAGTTAGTTTTTCTTGTTACCAAATTCAGAAAAGAAACTTACAAAAGATGTGTAAAGTGTATAAGGTTGATGTTGGTTTTAGTGGCGCTCTTACCCTGCAAGGAAAAGTCACAGAACACAACAAAACCCACTAACAAGAGTTTTATTAAGGAAAGGAGAAAGGGACAGATGTGTCCAGGCCTGCTGAAATGGCATGTGAAGAGGAGAGGGAGGGGACATGGGATCCACCTTTTAAGGACTACCCCACACATGTGCACATGGGCCCACGTGGCTACTCCACACATAGATCACGTGCTCACACTGCACACAATTTATGTGACCACACAGTGCATGGGTTATGTAGGACATATGACTAGGCAGAAATGACTAAGTGTCCCGCCAGGGCATGCACGATCATGGGGGCGTGGCTGGAATTCCTATCAGTTGAGAGACATTAAAAGATAGTTTTGGGATTGGTGATGCAAGTTAGGATAGAAAGTGAATTAAAAGGATAGTTTGGGATTGGTAAAGCAAATTAGGATAGAAAGTGAATTAAAAGGATAGTTTGGGATTGGTAATGCAAGTTAGAAAAGAAAGTGAATTAAAAGGATAGTTTTCAGGTTGGGGATTTAGCTCAGTGGTAGAGTGCTTGACTAGCAAGTGCAAGGCCCTGGGTTCGGCTCTGGAAAAAAGAAGAAAAAGAAAAAAAAAAGGATAGTTTTGGGTTGGTAATGCAAGTTAGGATAGAAAGTGAATTAGGTACAACACTCTGGACTCACCAACATAGAATAGATAATGGAGTATTTTCTCTGAATTTGTTGAATGCAAATGGACTAGACATTGTTAATGTAATTCTTGCTTGTATATATTTTATATAGTTATTTTACTTATTATATCTAGTTTTACTATGTTAGTTAAAACTTGCTTTTTATTTAGACAAAAAGGGGGAAATGTTGTGTGATATTTTGATTGTGTTCTGACAAATAAAGCACCTGTCAGAGGGCAGCACTAGCCAGTAACTGACCAAAGAGGCTTGGAGGACTGTAGAGAGAGGAGATAGGAAGTGGTAAGGCAGGACTGAGAGAGAGGATCTTGGTCCTTTTATACTGAGGAACAAAAGAGATAGGAAGAAACTGGCGTCTGCTCTTGGTTCTCTGATCTTTCAGGTTCTTACCCCAATATTTGACTCCTGATTTTTTATTGATAAAGATTAATTAAATTAATACTTCACAGTGTGCTCCTTCAGCTCTGCTCTATTAGCTCTTCTAATAGCTCTAGGCTATTCCCTAGTGCCACTAAGGGAAGGATCAATGGTTCTGATGAGAAGAAGCAGACTTATCTGAAGCTATTGGAGGACTGCATCATATTATTTTTTTTAAATGTGTGTGTGTGTGTGTGTGTGTGTGTGTGTGTGTGTGTGTGTCTTCCAGAGAGGCCAGAAGAGGATCTGGAGCTGGAGTTACAGGTGGTTGTGATTGCTAGAAACAAACTCTCTTAGTTGCTGAGTCATCTCCCCAGCCCCTGGTATCCTACTCTTCAATAGGCCTCTTGAACTTATTCTTGGCCCAGAGATCTTAACATACTCCTTCATTTCACTGCTTCATCCTAGAACTTGTCAGAGAGCAAAGGTAGATTGATTTCATGGTATCTTCAACTGGTCTGTCTTGCTTTCTTGCTTTCTACAATTTTGTAGACTTTTCCTTGTTTCTTGACCAGGACAACGACCACCCATAGTTTGCTTTGTAAAAGTTTTGGCTTTTAGAGATCCAAGTTTCATATAGCCTAGGCAGTCAAAGATGACCTTGAATTTCACATCCTCCTGTTTTCACCTCCCACGTGCTGGGATCACAGTCACAGCTGTGCACCATCTTGCCAGGCAATTTTTTTTTTTTTTTTTTTTATGATAAACTTAAAGCATGGGAGAAAAAAAGAACAGAAGGGGTAAGAGGAGGATAAAGAGGAACAACTACCACCACCAGTGGGAGGAGTCAGATTTTTGCACTCAGAAGAGACCAAACCAAACCAAAACACCCCGCTATATACAAATTTAATTACAGTTATTTTAAATTCCACATGGAACAGAGCGATCCTATACAAATTATTTGTGGGGCAACAGACATCAGGAACACATTGCCAGGGTCTTGATTGTTGTTTTCTTTTATACTCCAAATTAACGCATCCACCACCAAACATTGTGCAAATCAACAACAGGCCAGTTTTTGTTTTGTTTTGTTTTGTTTTAAACTTTTCCCCCTAGATCTGGAGGGTAATTTTTTCCTTTACATTCTTTTTCTTTGCTTAATGAATTACAAAGCTCTAATTAAAAGGGCTACTTTAAATTTCAGAAACACAAAGTGGCACTGGGGTGCAAAAGGAGGTCAGCAACAGGACTCCTCCCGGGGTGGGCTGGCATGGTCTTGCCATCTGGAGGTCGCTGGGAAAAGGCCACGCTGGCCCGCGCCTGCTCGGAAAGGTGAGAGGGACCCTCCGTCCTCCATGCCAAGCGAACCAAAATTCAATCAAAGCCAAGGAGCAAAGAGAGCGAGCGCAACTCGGCAGCGATGCGGCCCTCCCTGACCCGGAAGTGCTCGGCGGCCTCGGCGAGGGCGCGCCTGAGCCAGCGCGCGCGCGCGCCCCCGCGGAACTCCCGCCGGCGGCTGGGTTCTCCCGGAGGCGCGCCCGATCGCGGCGGCCGCCAACATGGCCGAGACGAGCGAGGAGGTGGCGGTGCTGGTGCAGAGGGTGGTGAAGGACATCACCAACGCCTTCCGCAGGAACCCGCACATGTGAGTCGCGCGCCCCGCGCCGCCGGGGTGGTCGGGGGGGGCGGGCCGGTGCCGCGCTCTAGTCCACTCGCGGCGGCCGCTCGGGGCCCACGCGCGCTTCCGACAGGCGGAGCGCGGCAGGGACGGTCGCGCCGGGCCAGCTGGCCGTTACCGGGACGCGTGGCGGGCCAGTGTTGGGAAGCGACCTCGGAGAGCCACGCCGGAGCGTAGAGTTTCCTGCCCTGCCGGGCGCGTCCTGGGAGTTGTGACAACTCTTCGCCCGGCCGCCCTCCGCCCGGGTGCGCTTGCTCCGCGGGCCACCGCTGTGGGTCTCGGTGCCTCGGAGGCGGCTCTCGGTTGCATCCCGTGTGTGACTGTAGAGGGTTACCCACCCCGTCGGTCTCTCCGCACCCCCTTTCAGGTTACTAGCGGTGATTGGAGGCCGCTTTTGACTTTTCCACTCACTTGTCACAAAATTGCAACGCTAGTGGATGTAACAATTTTTGAAGGTGACCTGGATGGATCTCTCATAAAGCTGTAGCGAACTGGATACTTTTTTATCGGAAGTGCGTCCGAAGTTACAGCCTAGCGCCTTACGGCAGGCATTCTTATCCAGCACTGTTGCCCTCTATAAGTTCACCGAAGGACTGACACCATATATCTCCTCCTCCTCCCTTTCCAGTTACTTGTTATTTTCTGGGAAGATACTCTCAAATTTTTATTCTTTCCGGCACTCTACCTTCAACGAATGAGAAGAAAGCTACAAAAAGAGTTACCTACATCAGTATACAAAAGAATCAGAAAGAAACAAGAGTGTAGCCCATTTCCCATCCCCCCTCCCTGGGGGAAACAAACATGGAGTCTAGTTTTGTATTATTTTCTCTGATTCTACAATTAATTTTTAATATTCTTTATCCTTTTTTTTAACTAGGGCACGTGAATTATTTTAAAACATCCCGGCCTCCTTAGCTTTTCCGACTAAATGAAAGTCCAAACCTACATTTTTAACAAGACATTCTTTTTCTTCAAGGTGGTGTTCCTAAAAGAATTTAGAAGTCCTCGGATGGCCTGCTCCCTTGTGGCAATTGGGGCTTAAAACTGTACTTCATTAAAGATAAAAGACTACTGGCCTCAAAACATACCTGCCAGCTCTGACAGATCCTAAGTCTTCTTCCTGTCCCCTTTTGACTGTTGATTTTTTCAGAATGAATGTTTGGAGTGAGTTCCTGGCAGTAGCCATAGTGGCTGCTGGGCCTTTTAAAGAATGCTTTGATGTCTTGCGTGTCGGTCTTTGAGGCCCTTTTTGAGAATTCCAGCCACAGTGCAAAGACACATCCTTAAAAAAAAAAAGTTGGGCAAATGAAGGGTTCATTTTTCATCATGAGGTGGGTTTTTTTTTCTTCTTCTAAAAGAAATTGTAGCAAAGGTTAGAGGTCTAATATAGTGATCACTTTAGTTTCTCATCTTTGAGGTAGACTAAAAGTATATTAGGCAAAACTTAAGATTAGGATAATGGGTTAGGCAGGTTGGCCGGGTACAGTATGGAGCTGTATGGAACAGGTCCCTGTTTTTCTGGATCACACTTAACAGAACTCTTAAAGGGCTTTGATGCTTCTCTCTATAGTTTTTACTCTGCAGTCTCATGAATATATACTCCATCAAAACTTAGGGTTATCTGTAAGTATTTGGGTCATTTGAGATCTGAGTTTGAGCTAAGTTGGGCACTTGAAATAATGAGTTATGTAAACTAAGCATTTAAATAGCTCAGTTCATTATTTAGCATCTGTCAGCAGCTGCATTTTAGTACACATTCCCTACAGTAGAAGTGTCTTCTAGCTATTATCTTTTAAAATGTCTTGTACGTTGGGCCTTTCAGAAGTGCTCGTATGTCTTTGCTCAGTCTGGCCATTTTAGACTCAAAAGAGCTGTATTTCTAGTTTAAAAAGAAAAAAAACAGACATCTGCCTTTAAGTTAGTCTCCAATAACAGTATTATAAGTTTTGCATTATTTGCCTTTTTCCCCTTTTTCTCCAATGTGAGATAGATTGCCAATTTATTTGTTAACATCTACTCCCTTGAATATATTAACTTTGTTTCTGTAGAAATATCTACCTCAAGCAGTCGAAGGTTCAATAAGAGCTAGAAATGGTGTTTCTATAGGTATAAACTGGTTTTCCCCAGGCTCAATATCTTCTCAATTTTGTAGGGCTAATGAGAATTCAAAGCACTAGACTTAATCTCAGTCCCTCCACTCCTTGCCAGAACACTGCGCAAAGTGAAAAACACAAGATAGATACTGTTTGGTAGGAGACTGGGAATCCTACTGGGTTCCCTTCAACTAGTGGTTTGACTCAGAAATATTTATTACCATGAGGTATAGACTGTGCCTTAATGTGGAATACAGCTGTCTACTGTACAGCCTAATTAGGCCATCATGTTAGTATTCTTTTATCCAGCAAATTGGTATTTTTTTTTATTGAATATCTACATTTATTTGAGGAGCAGTAGGTACCATATTCACTATATGAGACAAGAAGAAGTGCAAAAATATAGTTTGTACTGAAGCCAAATTTCTGGTGTGATTAAATTGTACATCTGCTGTATTAGCCACGTGTATTATTGAACACTTGGAGTGTACGTAATGTTAGTGAGAACTGAACTTTTGATTGATTATCATATAAGAAGTGAGTTCTATGTTGTGTAGTGTGGGTTTGGTGAAGACCTAAGACTGAACCTGCCTGAGTAGTAAATTAACCCTACAATATAGTTCTTAGTGAGGATTTGTTAGCAGTATTGTAAGTGTAAGAGAAGGGAGGCCGAGTGTATCTGAGCGGAGGCAGCTTTTAACATGAACATCGAAGTCTGAGTGCGACTTCAGTGTCAGAAGAAACTGGGAGCAGTACATTGATCAAAAGCAGCAAGATGTGGTTGAAAAGATTCCACGGGAATGGGTTAATCGAAAAGATTTCATCGGAGGGGGTTATAGAGAAGTCCTTCACTATCTGGCCTAATTGTTGCATTCAAGTGGGTAGGAAAAGAACACTCCCATTTGACAGGTAAAATGCTAGTCTGGAGATAACTGTACTGGGTGCTAAGCATAGAGATTAGTGCATAGTTGAGAAAGGATCTCTATCCTTAATGGAACGTCAAACCAATCAACACGCAGCTTATGAAAGTAGGCAGAAAGGGTAAGAAAGACATTATGAACAGTGATACCTAGGAGACTTTCTTTGGATTACAAGATCAAGATAGTTCTTTCAGAGGGACTAGCATTTTAATAGAGACACAAGTGATGATACACTTCTAATCAATAGGAAGGCCCCACAGAAAATTGTTAAGTAAGGGTGTAATAATGAAACACAGTTTAAAGTTGTCTGCAGGTTGAGGAATATGAAACCACAGAATACAGTGGTCTTATACATGTGGTTTACTCATTTAAGTGATAATACAGTTTTTAAAATTTTGTTTAGAATTTGAGTCCTGGGTTGAATCTTGTCATTTTATTTGCTAGCCCAATATACTTAGATAAGGCTCTCTTATATAAAAAACAAGGCAGATTTTTATTGTAAATTATTGCATAGAGTAAACGTAGAATGTGGCATGCAATAAACAATAAACATCAATTCCTGTTTTTGAAATAATGTCAGTAATGTAATTTCAGTGGTACAAAAAGTAATCTTGAAAATTAATGAGGAAGCCTATTAGGTCTCTGAAATATCTTCAGTACCAGTCAAGTTTTAATTATTAATATGCAAGTGTCAGTTCCTGTAGATACTTTACTAAGTATGCTTGAAAAGGTTTGGTCATGCTAGAAATAATTGCAGCATATAAAACAAAACTAACTATTCAATAAAGATATTTATAAATTTCCTGAATCTGGGCCCTTTCTGTTCAGTTGTGACACTTCCCAGAGTTCATGTTTAGTACTGGGCACAGTGCATCCTGCCTAGAAGGGAGCTTGGTTGACGTAGCTTTTGTGAGCAGAACAGTAAGCTATGGATAAAGGTAAGCCGTAGATGACAGTTATTGTTTCTGCAACATATAGACAAGAGAAGCTGCTACACGTTGGAACAGAGTTGACATCCGTGTGATACGAACCTTGAACTCCATTGGGTCTCCACTGTAAAGTGAGACACCCGAACACTATGCTGTGTGGGACCTGAAGTAAAGGTGCTGGTCCATTCCATGTTGTCTGTCCATCAAGGCACCCAATCATTGAGCCTTGTTGGATCTGTGTGAGAAGATTCAAACTTTTGCTGCCCTTGGTCTGGGTTTCTTTGAAAACCCCTGACCTTGGTCATGCACAGAATATTTACCTGAGCAAATGGTTAAGTACAGGACTCTAAATTTCTAGAAACTTAAAAATATTGGGAAAAAATTCATGAAGACTTTTTGGGAGGAATAATTGGAAATTATCTGATGCTTATAGTCATTGTAAGCATTTAAAATATCAATTATGTAGGGAATCTTAGATGTTAGAGAACTTCTAAGTTTTGTCAAGTTTATGTACGATGTGATCTCACTTTCTCTAAAAATACTTGAGGAGGGCAAAAAGACATCTACCCAAACAGTAGTAGCAGTAGAGACAGGCTTTTAGTTTTTATGTGTCCTGAGTTTTCTATATTTTGAGTTTGAGATTATAACTTAAACTGGAGACCCAGATTCTTAAGATAGCTGCTAGTAATGTTGACTTCAGGCAATCCCCTAAAGCTCAGTGGAGCTCATCTGATAAAAGGAGACACAGAAGAATGAGCTTCCTGCTTGTTTTAAAATGATTTAGAATTCTAAATTGCCTGAAAAAATTAGTAATCTAAAAGAATAGATACAGAAACCTAAATTGAAGCATTCTATTGTTCTGAAGCTTATGGAGCACATAGCTCTCTAAAGAAAATGATGTAATTTTTTAGCAGTAACAAAACTCTCTATCTTAGGGTCAAATAACTTGACAAAGGATTAACATTTCCACCTCAGCTTTCTATTGCCCTCTAACCAAGAAACTTGACATTGGATGACCTCAGGCTGTTAAATGAATTGATAACCTTTATCTTTGCCTAGCACTTCCTAGTTTACCACATTATTCACCTTTGGTTTTCATAACAAGCAAGGAAGATAGTAGATTCCTGTATTTCAGATGAGCAGTCCAGAGGTAAATGACCTAACACATCACACTGGCCATTGGTGGTAGAAGGGAGACTAATTAGCCAGGGGCTGTTATCAAGAAGCTGTTGTCTCTCAATACTGCATCTTTTCATTTTTTTTTTCTTCAAAGGTTTGCATCCTTATGACTCTTTCATTCTCTTTACATGGAATAGGTGTCGAGTTTCACTATATATACTTTGAAAGCTGAGTACATGCTAGCCCGTTTTCTTTACTGGAGATGAAACACAATTCTGCCCTTTTACAGATGGGGAGAGTGAGGTCTGTCAAGGCTCAAGTTGCATGTTAGATGACCTGTGCTTTTCTCAGTTCACTGTATTACAAAGAGCAGAGGTAATATTCTCCTGGAATAACCTTTGAAAGCTGTGTAAATGTCACTGAGGAGCAAGGATGACCATCCATTCAGATTCAGTTCCAGAGCACCTCTGTCCCCAAGGTTCTTTGTTTTTTGAAAGTTTCTTGGACGTGTAGCCAGCCACAGTAGTGTGTTGTTTTAATTCTGCAGATGGCTTTGTCCTATAATTTAGGTACCAAATTAGTACTTGGATATTTTATGTCTAGTACAACTCTAGTGAGCAAAACTTGTTTTTAACACTGTGAATTGGAGTTTAAAAAACCTCCTCCCAAACAGCATATCCGGAAAGCTGGGATTCTTTTATTCTTGCTAGTGTAACATTTTTGTTTTTAGCTCTGAAATTCCTTGAAGTGTTATAAGTAGTTATTAGATCTCAGAGAACAGAATCTCTTAAGTAATTAAATTGAGGGGTTGGCTTTTTCATTTGGTTTTGCTAATTTTAGGTTATTCATTTTTTGTTTGTTTGTTTGAGACAGAGTCCCGCTGCTGTTTAGCCCTGGTTGGCCTGGAATGTACTATGTAGATCAGACTGGCCTTGACCTCACAGAGATCCTCCTGCCTCTGCTTCTCAAGTGCTGGGATTGAACGAGTTATTTTTCTGTTATTAGGTTATTTACTAAAATGTTCAACTTCATATCGCAAAAATGTAAGCACCGGGAAACATGAGAGGTTCATATATATAGCCCAGTGACTGGGCATGGCTAGTTGTGTGTACAGTGCCATAAATGGATTCGGGTTCTTAGGACCAAGTACAGATGCAAAGGCGTGCTTTGAAAACTGAATATTAGGGGTTGGGGATTTAGCTCAGTGGTGGAGCACTTGCCTAGCAAATGCAAGGCCCTGGGTTCGATCCTCAGCTCCAAAAAAAAAGAAAACTGAATATTGACTTAAGGTTCTTTCAGGATTTTCCCCACAGAACTTCCTTCACATTACGGGAAAAGCCAAGTGGTAACCTTTTATTGTAGACATAGACACCTCACAGAGAAACTCTTAGAAGTCTGTGGTACTTTGTTTATTCATTTTGCATTATCAGAAACTAAAACTGTACCGTATATTCTGTGAATTGTTTTTATATGGTGATAGCACTAGTGTGGTACATCAGTATTAAGAGACCTTTGAATCTACTGAATGTGTTGTAGGTCCCACAGTCTTCTGGAGCAATAATTACTTTGGAAGAAATGTTAGTATCCTTGTCTATTGGCACTTAAGAGCGGGTTGCCTCTGAACTATCCAGTGTAGAGGTCTTTCTGGACAGATCTATTTTAGGTGTGTGCTTCTGACTGTGGTGACTTAACACAAGAGGGCTTTCTTATAATCTCCTATTAAACAGGTTTGTTCCTTTTTTATATCTGTACAGCTTTCTTCTTGGCAAAATAATTCTAGGGACTTAAAAGACAATGTCACACATTCTAAAGATCAACTTTTTGTTTATTTTTTAAATTTGTTTTGGTGGGGGAAGGGAGACAGCGTCTCAGTCTTATATAGTTCTGACTTGCTATATGACCCAGGATGACCCGGCCTTGAGCTCAGAGATCCATCCACATGCCTCTGCCTCCCGTGCCAGGCCTGCTTCTGCCTCTCAAGTACAGAGATTGCAGGCCTGTGCTATCAGGGCAGATGTGGGTGGTGCTTGGGGTCAAATCTGGAACATCAAGAGTGCTAGGCAAGCACTCTATCTACCAAGCTGCATCTTCAACCCTATTCTTTTCTGTGAAAAAGAGATGTGGGGCTGGAAAGATGCCTCAGTGGTCACAAGCACTCTGCTCTTGCATAGGACAGTGCAGTGACCAGCATCCATGGCGTATCCAATGGCTCACAACCACCTGTATGTACTCCAGCTCTGGGGGATCTGGTACCTTCTCCTTTCTGGGGCACCACCACATACAATCTTTTTCTAAAAAATGAATAGGCACATTTTAAAGATAGCTTTAAAAAAAATTTGTGTGTGTGTGTGTGTGTGTGTGTTGTATGTGGTACACACACATGTTTTTGGATGTGGGAGCATAGAAGCCAGATAAGAGCATTGGTTATTTGGTTCTACCATTTTTCAGCTTATTCTTGTGAAAAAAGGTCTCTCACTAAACCTAGCGCTTTATTTTGGCAAGAATGACTGGCCAGAATTCCTGGAACCCTTCTGTCTTTGCCCCCAACAGCACTGGGATTTCAGGCAAGTGTGGTCAAAGCTGACTTTGTACATGGGTGCTGAAAATCCTAACTCCTCCTCATGCTAATTCAAGCATTCCACTTGCAGAATCATCTTTCCAACTCTCTACTGTTAGTGTTAGAGCCAAGAGCAGAAGAAGGTGTTCAACGCTCCCCCTCTCCCCTCAATAGCTGGAGTTATGGGTCAGAGTGAGCTGCCGGGCATGGTTGCTGGTAACTGAACTCATGTCCTCTGCAAATCGGTAGTTACTCATAACCTCTGAGCCACCCCCCCCAGCCCCTCTCACAGAGTTCTCATTACTCATGAAATAAAGGACATCCTAGTGAAGAAATTGTGTAGGTAAGAATTTTAACCACTTTTGCAGATAAAAGATATGAGTTGGTTTTATAAATATTTGTTTCATTTGCTCCATGAAGTCACACTCCACACATTGTTTATTAATCAAGTCTGTTTTAATGCAAGTTTTCAACTTAAGATGGATTAACCGATCACATTCTGAAATATATTTTTCATTTTGATATTTTTATCATAAGGATGATTTAAAAAAAAACAACTCAGCAGTATGTAGAGGGAAAATGAGTCAAAAATTTCATGGACAAGTTAATCTTTAATAATAATTTGTTTCTGTTCCACATTTATTATTATAGTAGGCAAATATAAACACATTGGTTTACATTCTTAAAAAATGGAATAATTCTATAAAAATAAACTTCTTTCTCATTCATTACCTTTGTTTCTCAAAAAAAAAATTGTGGTGTCTTTCCAAGCAAAATTTAATGTATCTATATGTATTTTAAAGAATTTATTTAAAAGGCTTTTTCATTATATGCATTTTGCTTTCTTCCCATATTCTTGGCAGGTAGACAGTAAGTGCAGACCTGCATCATTACTTAACAGTTAGCACACCACTGAGCTGTGCTTCCTTTACCTGCATTATGCTGTTAAACATTTGGGTTGTTTCCTGTCTTGCTGCAGTGTTGTGTTTAGGGTGGGGTAGCTGCACGATTGGAGTCTGTGCTTTAAATGCTGCAAGGTGTCTTCAAATTGTCATCTAAAGAAGCTGAATTTTCACTCCTACCAGTAAGGAGGATTGCAGTGTGCTGTTTTCCCTGTACTTCACTGTTACCAACAAACCACATTAAAAAAAATCATTTGTTGCTACAACTCCAGTAAATGAGTGTGTGTATATATATATATATACACACACTCATTTACTGGATTTATTTACTCATTTACTGGATTTATTTACTCATTTATATATATATATATATACATACATACATATATACACATTTATATATATATATATATACACTCATTTACTGGATTTATTTACTCATTTACTGGATTTATTTACTCATTTATATATATATATATATATACATACATACATATATACACACACACATATATATATATATATATATTTTTTTTCTCACAGAGATCCACCTGCCTCTGCCTCCCAAGTGCTGGGATTAAAGGTGTGTACCACCACGCCCTCTTAGAACTAAACTTTGTTGTTGTTGTTATTTTTTTTCCAAGACAGAGTTTCTCTGTGTAGCCCTGGCTGTCCTGGATCTCTCACTCTGTAGATCATGCCTGCCTCTGCCTCCAGAGTGCTGGGATTAAAAGTATGCATCCCCACCACCCTCTTAGTTATATTCTTAAGAGAAATAAATATATGAGGCTTTTTAAATGTTTTAAGGAACTAGAAAAAATTAAAAGCCAGTATTATCTTCAATTTTTTTTTATGTCTTACATATTTAGAGATGAGATTGGCCTGATCCCATGCCCCGAAGCAAGATATAACCGGAGTCCCATAGTCCTGGTGGAGAACAAACTTGGTGTGGAAAGCTGGTGTGTCAAGTTCTTATTACCGTATGTCCACAACAAGCTCCTTTTGTACAGAACAAGAAAGCAATGGCTAAACAAAGATGGTGAGTATGAGTCTGTCCTCGTCCAAGGGAGGAGCTCTTCCCTGGGGTCAGCATTCCCGGACTCTGGTTTGGGCTCTTCTCTGAACTGCCTGAGCAGGTGCTCAGCCTCTGTCAAAGGAAGAGCTTAGCCTTGAGCGTTAGTGTTCCTGCTTGGAACCACAGTGATTATAATGGAAGTGTCTCGGGCAGGATTCAAGCCACCTGCTGCAGCCACAGCAGATTTATGTGTTCATATGCGGAGGTCATTTGTAAGATTTTGTTTAAGGATAGCATCCTATCTATAATTTAAAAAAAAGAAGAAATTTGAGCATTACTCAAGAGTTTCCAGTCCCCTGGAACCACTTGATCTCTGACCCCTTAGCATTTTACGGATGGCAGAACTTGTTTCTGTAGCAGTTCAAGGAGCTAGGCGAGGTGCTCTTCTATAGCTGCTGTGGGACCCCATCTGTGGTTCTGCTGTGCTGATTCACTGAATCTCAGGTGAGATCAGGCCTTCTGAATCATAGTGCCAAAATGAGACAGTCAAAACTAAGAAAGAAAAAGAAAATCTTGGCCTTTGCTTCTTCCCTGGTTCTGTAGTTGCTAACATCCCACCTGGTCTCTTCCCAGCGTTCCTCAAATCCTGCTCGGGCCGCACAAATTCTTCTTAGCCTTTTCAGGCGCACCTTGGGACTCACTTCTGGGTAGCCCTCATCTAAGCCTCTTCTGCCTTTGTAAGGCCCTTTCCCTTCTTCATCAGCAGCATCTGAGAAGTGCCCAGGGTGCCTGGAGAGTGGTTTTCAGTCAGACTTTATTTTCTAAGCAATTTTAATCATCACTTCCGGAGTCATTACCCAGGGCTGCTCTTACCAGAAGCCGCTCCGAGGACTGTGGGCATAAAAGGTGAATAATACCTGCTTCCTTTAGCTGAGAAGTTTCAAGTTGAGTGCCAGAAAGCCTCTTTAGGGGAAAAATGTGTTGCCAGCTGTAGCACATCGGATTTCCTTGAATTCTTCTCAGTATTATCCTTAAAAGGCTGTCCAAATAGGTTAATAGTACTTTTTCCTGTGTGGACCATGACGTAGTCTGAGTTTTAGTGAGAGGTGGTTTCTATTTTCCCTGTGGCTTGTTTCATTTCATTGGTCCTCTTATACATGTTTCTAATTCAAAGTGCTACCTAAACTTGGTGTGATGTTAATGGCATGACCTGACTTTAGGGAACATGTTTCAAACAATTGTAAGGGATTTGGCTTTTATTCGACCTCCTTTTTTATTCTGTCACCGCAGCATAGGCATCAGAGAGCCATAGGACTCCACCAAGTTATGTTTTGCCAAATGAAGCTGTATTGTTTTTACCCTGGTGTGCAGGGGTGTGACTTAGCCAAGGCATACTAGCTGGACAGAATAACTGTCTCAGGGAGAAGAAGCAGTAAGAATCTTAAAGATCAAGTCTAAGTTATCTCATAGCATTAGACTTTGCCCATTCGTGTACCTGAGCTCAACCCACCTCTGTCCTGTGGCCATCAAATCTTTGTGAGCACCATACTGTAGACTTTGCCATCTTATACACATGCTTTCCATCTTGATAGCCCCACGGGACACTATCAGGACACAAAGGCAGGTTTTGATTTTATCTTGCATCATCTGGATGAGAGCTATGATAATCTACAGCGTAGGAAAGGGAGCATAGTTCAGTGCAGTGCCACAGACCACTCAGGTCACATGTACTGTCAGTAAAGAAGTAAATTCTGATTTGATGTCTGAAAATGCCAATGTAAAAATATTGTGCCAGATTTATGAACTAAAACATTCAGAATGCAGCTGAATCTTGCTAAGGAAAAATAAATCCAAATTTTTTAGTAAAATGCCATTAATTTGAAACTTTTTTCTGGAAACAACTATGTGTATACAAAGAGCCAAGGGTATTTAATCTTTATTGCAGCCACAATCTACCCTGTTCTAGTCTCTGACTTTATTGTGTGCTACTCCCTTATTTTGCCTTTGTATTGTCGTCATCGGCCTGGTCGCCAGCATTAGCAAGCTGGATTCACACTCATCCCCTGGGAAGCCTTTCTGTCTGCTTCAGGAAGAGCAGGTCTCTGCACTCTGTGGGAGTCCTTTATCTGGGTGACTTTGATAGTTGTCACTCACCATAGTATATTGTAGTTTGTTATTTAAACATCTTTTCCTGCTAGACTGTGGGTCACTGAGAACAAGGATTATGGCTCTTACTCAGTACTATTAAGTGCCGAAGTGTCGCTTGTCAGATTAGCAAGAATTCTTAGCTTAGTCCGCCATTCAGGGTCTGTGTACTGTAATAAATAGCTTGATCTTAAGCCGTTCTTCATATGGTACTTGAGTATATTTTGGAAGGAGAGTAACCAGTGTACTGTCTTGAATTTATCTATTTTTAGATGCACTGAAACTATTCTCTGTCAGAATAGTTGTAAAACCTGAACTATTGCTAGAATGAAGTACAGCAAAGAAAGTGTATTCACTCAGCCTCTGACTTCAGGAGTATCTGTGTGTGCTTTTCTTGTGCCAGCTGTAATTTAGCTACTTCCTGTGTATAATGTGCCCAGATTAATTTTCTGCCTGTGAAATGATGATGGATTAGTCATACATTGGAATCTGTATAGTAAGCATGTATTTACAGGCATGTGTTTTGTATCTCAAGAGAGACCTGTCTGATTTCAAGGGTCTGTAGGATGTTGAGTAGCTCGTATCTTCTGGGTGAGGCTATAGAGAAAATGGTCTGTAGTCAGTGACATTTAGAGAGTGAAATCATTACAATCAACTGTTACTGACACGTGTTTATCTTTAGAGCTTGGTTCATCCTTCCTGTATAGGACAAAGCATTTGCCAAAAGTGTGTTAGCATCTGCTTTGCTGGAAGACAGACCTGAAAAGCCGGAGCATCAGCAGTCTGAGGTTCAATTACTTAATCTCGTTCTTCCTTTCTTCTCCCTGAAAGGGAATACTGACTGAGACCTCAAGATTTTCTTGCTTATCTGATGCTTCCATTTTTAACCTCTTTCTCTGTCTCGGTTGGCCCATTCCTGTTTTCTTACATTATACTTACCCCCCACTTCTTGCCTCGGAACTTGACTTCTGAATCAGGAAAGATGAGAAGATTGTGAGGAGGAGAAAACCCTGGTTGTACTTAATACTGGACACCGCTGAGGGCTGTCAAGGCTGCTGGTGTTTTAAGTCCCAAGATTCTTAGATGCTGTTAGATGGTCACTGCTCTTCTTAGATTCCTTCACTTCCTACTAGGCTTCCACTCACAGTAGTGCCTGTGGAACTGACTAGGAGATGCAAACTTGGAAATGAAAATTAACATCAGAATTCAGTGTTCACTGTATGTTAGATAACCTGATACCTCATGCTTTTAGTCACTTAACACTTCTGTGAGGTAGCTCTGTTGTGAGCTGCATTTATATTGAGAAAACACTAAAGCACAATGAGATTGAGTGAGTTCCTTACCAATTTGTTTTTGCCCAGAATTCCCAGGAAGTGGGAAGCAGGGCTGTGATCCCAGCAGCAGTTAGCTGTCTGGCAAAGGAAGCTCTCCGTTGATGAGCCTTCCTCCACAGCCTCTCGCTGATGCGTGGGGACTTCCGCATCGACTGTCTATGTTCATGAACTCTGCCTGTGCTGCTGCACAGGGGCTTCTCTCTCACTTGTAGGGAGGAGGGGAGGAGAGTCACAGGAAACGTACAAACAGGCATAACTCTCAGTGTACGTTTTCTGTCCTGTAGAAAGAATCACAGGGACCGAGAGCCAGTTTACTTAGGCAGTGGAACAGCTTTGGGAACAGTTGCCGACATCAAAGAACTCCACAGCTTCCCTCTCACATATAACCTCCCATACGCTATGGTGCGTGCTGGGGCGCTGAGGGCGGTTTTCTCAGGTCAGGGGTTTGCCAGTTTCACTGTGACAGCATTGCAGACTCTCTGTGCTGCGGCTGTGCTGTGCTCCGCAGTCTCAAAGCATGCTGGATGTGACATCACACTCCTTTGGCTTTCCCACACCCTCTGCACTGCCTTACCACTGTACTCCTAGTCCCCACGGGGACACTATAAGAATTAGTCATCGCTTCTTCAGAAGGCCCTGGTGGTGTGTGTTGTCTGTTTGCCCTTTCCAACAAGAAGATAACCTTATGAAGGGTAAGATCAAGATCCGGTCTTATTAGAATTACACCCGTGCTTTGAGTCTGAGCCTGTTCAGTCTTTGCTCATTGTTGATACTTAGAACATTTGTGGAATTAAGTGAATAGTAATATAGAACATTATATTAGTTTCCTTGGCAAACATTAAATTAGTGCCAAAAACTATTAAAAAATGAAAGAAAAAAAATGAAAGAAAAAAGGATATGACTTAGATTGTTCTTTACATGCACAGCACGCTTGCACATAGGAACTTGCAGTGGGGAAAATGTGGGGCACAAGTCAGAGTGTAGTTCCTGCTTCTCAGTTTTTGAATATTTAAATGATCAGTAGAAGATTCATAAGTGCCCAACAAATGCTAATCTTTTTACTAAGATTGTGTGGTAATAGAAAAATCAGTAGTTAACCTGACTGTTTTTAAAGGTATACGTGAGATACTTATGTGTTTGCTCTCATGTCTGAAGTTTATCTTGCACTAAGTACTTCACATGCCTCATTTATCCCTATAGCCAGGCGTTTCAACTGCAATGTAACTGATAGGACCAAAGTGTCAGGGCACATCCGTGTCACATACTGTTGGTTAAAACTCTGACCCTCAGGGCTGAGGAGGTGCCTCAGTGGTTAAGAGCACAGGCTGCTCTCCCACGGGACCCAGGTTTGATACCCTGCATCCACACGGTAGCTCACAATGGTCTGTAACTTCAGTTCCAGGGCATCCAGTGACCTCTTCTGGCCTCTTCTGGCACCAGGCACACAAGTGGTTCACAGACATAATATAGACAAATCGTCCATATACATAAAATAACGGTAATCTTTAAAACCCTGTAAGTTTCATTTTCCTGCTGTAAAGTTAAACAAAAGTGGCTCGGATCCTGACTATGAGAGTGTAGCGAACTAGTGTGAGTAAAGCATTAGTGTGGTACTGCTCCCAGCTCCGCCCCATTGCCACATGAAGTGTACTGACAACCTCTGTGTTGTATTCACTTCGTATTTAATACAGCTGGGGCCCTTATCTGCTTTTGCAATATGTCTCTAGATTGATAATAGCAATTCTAAAATTCTCTTCAATTTTAGTAACAAGAAAATGTCCAGATTTGATCAATTTAGTTCTTTTAAAAGTAGGTTTATGGAGTTTATTTGTACCCATGAACATGTTGTTAAGACCACGAAGAATAAATATCTAGTAACTATGAATAGCATATCCTCAATGAACTGAAAACAGTAAACAAAAATGATCAGTGATCACATGACTTAAGGTATAAACATATAAGATAAAACATAGTAGAGCATTGTTTTTTTTCTTTTAACTCATCACGTTGATGTTTTAAAATATAATCATAATAAGGTTAGAATTGGAACATAAGCAGTCACATTACTCTCGGAAGTATAAAATAGTCACAGTGCATTTAGAGGACAAGGTACAAGTCACATTTGACTTTTGTATTGTTTTGCCATGGAGATTCTTTTTCAGGAAATACATCCTAAGAAAATAGAACAGTAAGTCTTTAGAAATGATTACTGTACTTTTATCATTGCTATCATTGTGTGAAATGTGTAGAAAAAAGGGGATTTTTTTTTTTGCAGCAGAACATAAGTTGGATTGTGGGTGATTTTTCTCTTCTCTCTTTTGAAAATTTCCATATAGTTAGTGCTTGAGACATTAGTAGAATTAATTAAATGGTGGTTTCAAAATTACTTCTTAGTGCAAATTAAATTACTGCCAGAGCTACTAAAAGAATGGAAGATGAATTATTCTTTATGGGCATATTATAAAATTGTTAACTTTTAAAATAATTGTACAGATCACAAATAGAAGAAAATCTTGAGGATAACAGTCACACCACTGATGTCTAAAAGTGTGTCTGACATTTAAAATTAATACAACCTGCATACAGGTTGTAATGAGAGTGGACGAGGACCTTTGAAAGGAGCAGGCTTTGACAGGCAGGACTGTGTTTTTAATGTGGCTCTCTTTATTTTAGAATTGATAGATGTCACCTGCACCCTGCTACTACTCAACCCAGACTTCACCACCGCATGGAATGTGAGGTATGTCATTTTCGTCAGTAGTGAGATGAAGCTTGCCCAGACTTCTGAAGACATTTATAACCCTGTGACTTGGTTAGCTACTTGGAAATCAAATATAAACCATTTGTCCATAGCATCCTGTGTTTGTTTCTTATACAAATTCTTCATAATATCTCCATGACAGTTCTAACACATGTGCTATGCCCCTTATAACTGTTGTTTCTATCAGCATTTTTCCCTAAACTATAGATCATCCCTGCTGAGTTACAGTGTGCTGTTTGATGCCTGCTTGTGTTTTCTTCCCTTGTTTGGGGATTATGGGCATTTTGTGTGAGGATTGGACCACTAGGCTACACTGGGGTGCAGGGAAGTGTATGGGATAAGGTTTAAGACCACACAGGCTTTAGTCTTCATGTAGCTATAGCCAGTGTGGTGCCGTGAGACAGCCACTTATAATGTCTGATGATCAGGACTTGAAAGAAGGATCACATTTGATTAATTAAGACAAGAACCATTTCTATTGAAGGGTTTTTTGTTTTTCAGTTAAATAACCTAGATGGATGTATGAGCGTAAATCAACTGCTACTCATTAGACTAAAACAAATTCTCTTGAAGGAAAGCAGAATGTGAATGATAGGAAAAGTAAAGTCTGTTGAATGTTCTGAATTATTTTAAATTTTCCCACAGGATAGAGCCATAAATATTACAATTCTTTATCATTAGAGATAATTTAAATCATATTTTGTTTAACTTTCTGTGTGTTTTAAACAAGGTCACATTATACTGGATTTTGTATTTATAAGTGATTTTAAGAATTTAGGTAACTTCTATTATAGACATTTTTTTGAGATGGCTTTGGCTCTGCCACTCTGAGCAAGTTCCTTCACCTCTCCAAACTTCAGTTAGCACATCTGTAAAATTAAGATTGAACTGAATGAAACTCTCCGGTCCCTAGTAAAAGGAACTGGGCTTTCTGGAGAAATGGCTGAATCATAGACCAAAGCAGGCATATACAGAATGGGCCTGGAGCATCTGGGAGCAAGAAAGTAAAGAAAGAGGTTTTAAGAGTAAAACGCAGTGGGAGCTGTTGAAGGGGCCAGGGACCAACTGAGAGAACTTCTGGAAGCAGAAGCCGGAATGATTCGAGTAGCAAAATGCATACATACAGTACTCTCTTCTTATCCTGGGAAGAAGATGTGTTCCAAGGCCCCTCCCTGTGCCTTCACACCCGCTGAGTAACTGCTCACTGTAGACAGCATGAACACCTGGACGAAGGAGTCGCATCCTGAATCCTGCAACGTGGGAGTTCATCAGATGCCCAGAGCCCCTTGTCATTTAAAATTTAGGAATTGTTTCTGAAATTTTCCATTTAACATGTTCAAACCATGGTTGACTATTGTCTTCGTTAGGTTTTTATTGCTGGGCTAAAACACCATGACTCAAATCAACTCAGGGAGGAAAGGGTTTATTTCAGCTTAGAAATCTCAGGTCACAGTCCGTCACTGAGGAAAGTCAGGGCAAGACCTCAAGGAAGGAACCTGGAGGCAGGAACTGAAGCAGAAGAAATGGTAGAACACCACTTCTCAGGACCAAGAGTAGCACAGCCAGCCCACAGTAGGCTGGGCCCTCCCATATCAATCATTAGTCAAGAAAAAGTCCCCACAGACTTGCCCATAGGCCAATTTCATGGTGGCATTTTTCTCAGATGAGAGACCTCTTCCCAATGACCCTGGTTTTTGCCAAGTTGACAGAAAACTAACCAGCGTGATAATAAAGTCTGTGCAGTGGTTTCTAAGCTGTAATGTGGTTTACACTGTTTCCAGTTGAGTGTCTCTGGGACAAGACCTTAGGATTCTCTTATCTACTGAGTTACAGATGGTGTCAGTGTGCTGATTTGGGATGCGCAGCCCCGAGCCCACAGTCCAGTCCTCCCGTCCCCAGCACCAAGATTGCAGACCCCGCTGCGGTGCCTGTTTCTGTGTGGGCTCTGCGGCTCCAACTCAAGCCCTTACGCTCACGCAGCAGGCACTTTCCTGACTGAACTCTCTCCTCAGTCTCTCGGTTGTTGTCCATTCTTTAATAGTTCTTGGTGGTTCACCATGAGATTTTATTAAAAGCAATAAAAAATGCTTGAGTAGAAAATTGACGCTTATTTTTCTTTTTGTTACAGGAAAGAGCTCATCCTTTCTGGCACTCTAAGTCCAATTAAGGATCTGCATCTGGGAAAACTAGCCTTAACTAAGTTTCCTAAGAGTCCAGAGACATGGATTCACAGGTGTGATTGATAGGCAGTTTTGTATCCCTGTTCAGTATTCAAGTATTCAGTATTCAGTATTCATTACTATTTGATTTTTGTTCAGAATTTGAATTCTAAAGTCACATTACATTTGATTCTGAGAATGAGCACTTGCTACCTGAGTGTCCATGGGAGCAAGTCCTTCCAAGTTTGAGTTTTCACATTCATAAAACATGAGCAATAGTTATACCTGATTCATAGAATTCGTAGTTCAGTGCTCCTGAGGTCATGTATACAAGCCCTACTACAGTGCCTTGCACATAGTAATTGATTGCTCAATAACGTTGGCTGTTATTGTTATCTATAGCAATTTTGGAGATTGCATTTAGATACTTAACTATAATACATGGACTTGTGTTCCTAGTAAATTTGGTGGTCTGATAGTTGTGATGATTAAAATTAAATTTTAAAAGGAAGATAAGGGTAACTGCGGTGATTGGTATATGGACTAAACCATAAATGCAAGGAGCATTTTTAGGGTGAGAACCTGAGACAGCCAGAATACAAGTAGGACTCTGAAAATTCTTGGTGTTGGAAAGCATGCTTTTCTGAGATCTCATGTAAGTGCTCACTTCACTGAAATGCAGTGGTGTCGTCTGCTGTCACAGTGTCCTGGAGAAGTTAGTATCAGGAAGTTTGTCCTCATTATGCCGCTAACATTCCTCAGTCATGAACATTGTTGGGTTCTTAGGTGGGTTTAAGGTATCATGACTGTAACCTTGACTTTGCCTAGCATGATAAGTCAGCTCTAACAAACCACAGTCAGTTGTATTTTCTTCCTTACCAGAAGTTGGCATGGTTTGCCCCAGAAAGCCATGTGCTGGTGTTAGGCTGAGAGGAGGGAGATGCCAGAAGGAAACTATTAAATAAGCATCTCGGTTATTGGAGTCTGTAATTTAAAAACAAATTTTGTTTATTTTTTATATTTATTTATTTAATTAGTAAGTTATTTTTGTTTTTTTGTTTTTTTTTTTTTGTTTTTTTTTTTTGGTTTTTTGAGACAGGGTTTCTCTGTGTAGCTTTGCGCCTTTCCTGGAACTCACTTGGTAGCCCAGGCTGGCCTTGAACTCACAGAGATCCACCTGGCTCTGCCTAAAGGCGTGCGCCACCACCGCCCGGCTATTTTTGTTTTTTTGAGACAGGATTTCTCTGTGTAGCTTTGGGGCCTTTCTGGAACTCACTCTGTAGCCCAGGCTGGCCTCGAACTCACGGAGATCCGCCTTCCTCTGTCTCCCGAGTGCTGGGATTAAAGGCATGCGCCACCACCGCCTGGCTAAAACCAAAAATGTTTTGTTGTGAAACTTCATTGTTTAAAAATAAAATGAATTTTCTTACTCATTTTTCTGTACCTTTGGGTTGGAAATTTTTTAATTCAAACGTATGTCTATAAAAATATGAACTGATTAGAAACCTTTTCTGTTGCTTTTGACTAAAATATATGCAAATTACACATAGACAAAAGGAGAGTCTGTGATTGAGGACATTTTAAACCTTGATGCTTAAGTGTCTTTTGTTTCTTTTCACATTTTATGCTGTAATATCAAAATTTCGCTTAGTGAAAGCTATCAAAACAATACTTTTGTTTGCAGACAAGTGTGGGTGAGGCATGTACGTGTAACTGAAGGTACGAGTCTGCGCCCTCCTGCCATAGTGCACAGTCAGCCCTGCGCCTAGCCTACCACACACAGGCACATGGATTGGCTCCTTTATATTCCTTGGCCAAGGAGAGTTTGGAAGTGGTCATTTTGGAGCTGATGACCTTCTCTTTTTGATGGATTTTAAATTTAGAAAAGCTTCTCTTTCCCATTTGTCATTTTCGTGTCCCTTCTGGCTCATATTGCTAAGTTGAATTGTATTCCAGAGCGCAATAGCAGCAGCCCCTTGACATCCCCATCCCTGAGCTTATAGATGACTTGTTTTGCACTCTGTACATGGAAACTAAGAACACGGAAATGGATTGTGTTCTTCCCTCCTCTTTCCCCCATGCTGTATTAACAGGCGCTGGGTGCTGCAGCAGTTAAGTCAGGACACTTCCTCGCCTTCCTCTGTGGCCAAAGGAAGCTTAGGAACAGTTCCTGCAGAGAGGACCCAGCGAATAATACAGGAAGAGATGGAAGTCTGTGGTGAGGCAGCAGGAAGGCACCCCAGCAACTATAATGCCTGGTCCCATCGCATCTGGGTGTTACAGAGTGTGGCCAAGCTGGATCTCAAGGTAGGGCTATTATTCTTTTTCCATGGCTAGTACTACCCATACACCCTTTAAATCTCTGTAGTAATTTATCCCTGAAAGTAATGTTCCAGCAGCCCCAGAGGATCAAGACAGTTGTGGTTTCCAGAGAAATCCTCATAATTACAGAAGGGTTTGCCTTCCCCATGAGTGCAGCTTGGGACGCTGGTAAAGGAAATACATTGCCAGACCAAAGGCACGCAGAACCAAATACGAAGAGTCAGTCTAACTCATTAAGATTATTCAACTGCTTGTAACGTTCTCTGGACACATGTCAGTGAGCTGAATCAGCAGACAGTCTTTATACTCTTCACTCTCAGAAAGGAAAGGAGAGAGCAGGGACAGACTTGGCAGAGCCTGTAGCTCACCCTGGGATTCGTGAGGCCCTCTACAGGCCTATGACGTCAGAATGACAGGGGGATCTCACATAAGCTCTTTCCATAGGTTTAGTATGGCTCTTGCAGCCTGTCTTTGTGTGTGTGTGTGTGTGTGTGTGTTTGTCTTTAGAAATGGGAGGTGGCAGTTTCCAGGGTATTTTGAGGCTTAGACTTGGCCACAGTTGAATCATTTGGAACATTTAGTACTCATCCATCAGAGTGATAGCCTGACAGCCCTGTATTTCTTTTTCTGTTACAAAATCATCTTCATTTTTCCTTTGCTGGTTATTGTATTAGAAATCTGTAAGAATATATGACGCTGTTCTAAAAAACTTCCCAAGGCCAGGGCAATTAAAAGGTGAAGTTGAATGTCAACATGCCTCAGGGGTGATTTAAAGTCACAGAGAGCTTCCTGTAGTTGTGACTCACCAGCGATGTCCTCTCTTCCTTCCTAGTGCCCTTTCCCTCCTCCGAGTCGGGAGTCTTCGGGGTAAATAGAGTTGTCACTTAAAGGGAATTTAGGCCCGCAGTTATAGAAGAGTAGACCTTTCCATTTCTGTTCATATGTCTGTGAGTTTCAGGAGGGAGGTACCCAAAGGAGGCGGCAGAGCAGAGGCTTAGCATCGCATCAGCCTGAGGTCATGTTTGACCTCGACATGGGAAGTAAGTCCTTGAGATTTTATTTTTCAAATAAGGACTCTACTTTCTGCCTGGAGGTTAGTGTGAGGATTGCCTGAGTTACTGTGATAAGAGTGCTGGGTTTCTTTCATACATGTCTGCTAGTGTGCTTGATTGGCTCAGTGCAGTCATTCCTAGCTGCTGTGCTGGGTTACTTGATCTTTATACCATCTGGAGCTCTAGTTGAGAGAGTTAATCCACAATGAGAAAGTAGTGTAACCCTTGGAAGGTCTGGGGAGCTCTGGGTCCAGTCGGGAGCACCAGAAATGGTTCCTTAGAAACAGCTGCTGAGTCTAGAGACATACAAGTCATGTGTGCTGTCAGGGATGTGGGGTACCGCAGCTCCTCACCTCTGCTCTGTAGTGTGATGGTGGGGCGGGGCCTTGGGCAAGAATTGGGAGATGAGATGTTACTGGAAACTTTCCTGCTAGCCCATTCTCATAATGTCAGCGGCAACAGGCCAAGGTGAAATTCTTGGTTATTTGCGACCATCTTATGTTAGATTGATAGCTAATTGGTGAGGTTTTTGACTCAGCTGCCTGGATCTACTTCTGAGCTCACATCTAATCACCCTTCCTTGAGCTGCACTTAGGAGGATTTGTTGTGTTTCCATCACTGACACCCTCCACTAGCCTTTCTTACCCTTTTTCTGTTCTCAGTAAAATGTACTGAATGTTTTATTTTTATTTTTTTAGTTCTCTTTCTGTTGTTATAAGTCCTTGGGCTCAGCTGGACTCATGCTCTGTGCTTTGTCTCTGAGAGGAAGTAGTTAACAAAAGTACCAGTTGTCTAGACCAACTTAGAAATGCATGTAAGTCTGAGTGTGATCGTGCACACTTGTAATCACAGCTACGCAGAAGCTTGGGCGGGAGAGCAGGCGGCATGCAACCTGGGCCACGTAGTGAGTTGAAAGGTGACACAGATGGGCACCTTAGTGAAATCTCATCTCAAAATAGATGTGAGTGGGTTAGAGAACAGATAGCTGAGTGGTACAGCACCAGACTCAAGCGCTAGTTCTGCAAAATAAAAAAAATAAAATAAAGACATTTTAAAAGCAAAGTAGATAAAATGAGCTAGCATTATCAAGGGTAGAAAGTTGAAAATAGTATCTTAAAATGCCTGATGTCCAGTCCTGGTGAGAGGCTGACAGTGAGCTCTGGAAAAGTTGTTGCCGTTCTAATAAAAGACAAGATCACATTCAAAGTAGGTAGAGTCATAGCCGTTGTGGTTTGTGGACTTGATCTTATGCAAAGAAACGATGGCAGAGACAGCGTGTATGGTATGATTAAAGGTGCCACTCAGTGATCATACAGACCTAATATGTACTCTAGCTGTTCTACCAACTTGCTGTGTGCCCTCACGGAAGCTACCCAGCCTCTCTCATCCTCATTTTCCTGCCTATGAAAAGAGTATGGTGGAAATTCCTCAACAGCTATCCGGTGGAGTGGTACACGCTGAACAGGAGGATCGCCATAGAGTGATTGTCATGGTGTTCTTACTTAGTAAACACTGGCTATGAAATACAAAGATTTGGTATGTGCAAGCATTTGTAATTGTGAAAATTAGAGAGGCTTGCCCTTGGGAGTAAGGGATTCATTAACGTTACAGTCTATATTTTAGTCTACTAAAGATCATACTGTATTAGATTATTTAAACAAAAATGTTTATAGTAGGTTATTGGCATAAAAGTAAATATAGTGTGGACTACACAGTTTTAGTATGCTGGCGTTTAATGAAACAAAAGCACTTATGAGTGGTTAGACAGTGCCTGGGACATAGTAAGTGCTGACCAGGCGTTCACGTGTGCAATAGTGTCACGGTTTTGTTTGTTTGTTTGTTTGTTTGTTTTTTAGTAATAAGCATAATAATGTTTTAGTATGAAGAAAAGTTAGAGAGTAACGGATGATTAATGGTACTATGGAGTAGAAACATGATATTTTAAAAATTATTTTTGAGGGGGAGTAGAATAATATAAATGAACAAAATGTATTGTGACTAGCCAATTAAAAGTTGTTATTATGTCACTGAAAAAAATAGAGATGTGCAAATGTCTGATAAAGATACAAAATAATTTTACATCATTAACAAAGGATAGAAATGCAAATCATAACCACAGTGAGTGAAATTGTTTCTTACCAACTAGAATGGTAACAGTAATGGCAGAGAGTAGCAAATGTCACTGAGGATATGAGAAGTGGCCCTTAATATGGCTGGTAGGAATGTAATCTAGTGACATCACTTTGGAAAGCAGCTTAACATTCCCTTAAAAAAAAAAGAGAGAGAGAGAGAGGGAGAAAACCATAGAATTACTGTATATGTGAGGGACCAGGTACAGTTAAAACTAGTAGGTTGTATTCTTGGAAGAAAAAGAATGGCTATTTATGATCCCACAGCCCCATTCTGGAGAATTAGAGGCATGTTCATACTAAATCCTGTGAGTGAGAATGTTCATAGCCCCAAACTGTTGACAACTCAAATATGTATCATATGAAAAAAGGAAAACCAAAGGCGAGGCCTTGATAAAATGGACTGTTGACCGTAATAATGGAATGAAATACCGGAGTGCTGTGTGATGTAGACGAGTCTCAAAACATAATTTAAAGTAACCAGATTCAAAATCATCCCATTTTGTTCTATTGATCTAGGAAGTTCAGATGCTCAAAGATTATTAAATGCCTGAGACTAGGGAGGGAATGGAAAGTGAATCCCCATGGCAATAGAGGGCTTTTTTTTGCAGGTGTCTGTGTATAAAAACATTTGAAATCAGCAATAATGTCTACACAGTTCTGAATATACTCAAAATATTGGTTTATATATCAGTTTCAAAGTTTGGTTTTGAAATTGATTGGAAAAGCTTAGAAAACAGCTAAGAAGTTAGACACTATGCCATTAGATATTTAACTATGTTAAGTAATTAAAACATAGAACTTTTTCAAAAATAAAATAAAAATATAATAAACTCTAGAAATAAATCCTAGTATATATAATTATGTGAAGATTCCATTAATAACCATTAAATATGGCATGTCACATAGAAAAAAAGAATCTCAGTTTATGATGACTGGAAAAAGTTGGATTGACGTTTTAAAAAATAATTTAGATCTTTTTATATATAAACTGAATTGTAAATAGATTTTTAAAATCTGAGACGAAAATAGAGACCTGGGGGCAATGTGCCATGTAAATATTGTATGATTTCACTTTTATGTAAAATCTAGAAAAGTTTGAATTCATTGGAAGCAGAGTACAATGATAGTTGGAAAAGTTGAGGGAGGGATAAAGAAAGGTCACAGTTACAAAATTATAGTTAGGTAGAACGAATAAGCTCCAAAGATCTCACACAGCTTAATGACCAGAATTATCATATCATATGTAGGGACTGAAGTGTTGGCTCAGTGGTTGAGAGCACTCACTGCTCTAGCACAGGACTGGAGTTTGGTTCCCAGCACCCACAGGGTGACTCATAACTGTCTGTAATACCAGTTCCTGAGGATCTGACACACTCTTCTGACTGCCCCAGGCACAAGCACACACATGGTGTGTGTACATACACTCAGACACAAATATAAATACATTTGTAAAAGAATAGTGCCTTATGTGTATAGCTAAAATTTACTGAGGGGATTTTTAAAAATAGTCTCACACAAAAAATGAAAACTCTGTGAAGTGATGCCCGTGTTTCTCAGCTTGGTTTGTGTAATATCCCAGTGTACACATGCAAGCCTGTGATTACAGTGTGTGTCAAGAGAGCATACATTTTTATCAAGTACACCTCAATAAACCCAGAAAAAAGAAAAATTAATTGTAATAGTATATACTGAGAAATGGTTACAGCATGTATCATAAAAGTAGAGATTTAATATCTCCTTCATGTATAAATATCTTTAAAAAGCCCATAAGAAAAATAGATGACTTGCTGATAGTAAATTGGGCAATTCATAAATGAAGAGAACAAGACAAGCCTGTTAGTCATAAAGAAGTAACAAAAGAAAACCAAACATAAAGCTTTTAGCTTTTCTTATAACTAAACACAAACCACTTTTAGATAGTATTAATAAATTAGTAGTGATTAAAGTTTTCATAAGAGTTTAGGAAATAGGCATTAATAATGTACCTCCAATAGAAAGATAAACTGTACAGCCTTTCAAGAGGGCACTTTATAATAATATATGTCATCAATCTTATAAAGTTGTTCTCTTTGTCCCAACAAATAAACTTCTAAACATTTCTCCTAAATACATGATTGGGCGTGCACATAGTGTCATGTGTAAGAATTCCTCAGACGGGAATAGAAGCAGGGAAGAGTCGAAACCGGTCTTGAGGGTGAGATGCTGTGTGATAGTGAAAGGTGCTGCTGTAGAAGGCTCAGTCCGCAGCCGTCCTGTCTGCTGACAAGCGGGGGCGTGCGGGAGCAGGGTTCTACCTCACACACAGTGTCTGGGACTTGGACCACCATGGAGGAGAAAGCAGGGCAGCAGGAGCTTGAGGCAGCTCCACATGGTGTCCTTGGTCAGGAAGCAGAGCAAGGTGAAAGCTGCTTTTCAGCTTGCTTTCTTCTTAGGTCTGGGGCCAAAGCCACGGGATGATTCTGCCCACATTCGGGATGGGTCTGCCCGTAGTCAGATCATTGTGGAAATACCCACATAGGCATACCCAGAAGTGTGCTTCCATGTTGTTTGTAAATCCAGCTCTGTTGTTGGTGAAGATCACCCATCACTAGTGTGCTTTTAATGTAAGCGGAATAGAATCAGTTCAGAAGATATCTCCCATGGGCTAACGTGTGATGTGATTTTCTCTTCTCCTATATTATTGCTGTTTCTATAATGATCATTTTTACCGCTGCCTTAGTTAAGGTTGGGTTTATTTCATCTTACAACTCTCAGGTCATACTGTCAACCCAGTGAAGTTAGGCAGGACTCTGGAGGCAGAAACTGAAGCACAGGCCCTGGGGGAACCCTACTTATTGTCTTACTCCTCATAGCTTGCTCAGCCTGTTTATTCACACCATCCAGGAGCACTTTCCCAGGAGTGGCACTGCCTCCCACATCCATCATTAGTCAAGACCGGCACCCCACTTGTCTACAAGCCAGTCTTATGGAGGAATTGTCTCCATTAAGATTCATTCTTAAATGACTCTAGTGTGTGTCACGTGGACAAAACCTAACCAGGACAATCACTTGTATAACGGGTGAAAAAAAATGATTAGAAATGTATGACTGCTGGCATGTGTGTTTTCAGTATTTCATTTTAAACCAATCAACCCCTCTGTTCCATAGTCCTGCTGCTGTGTTTACTTATCCACCTTTTTATATGGAGGTTGGAAAGGAATAAGGGCACTGAAGGTATATTCTAAAAAACATTCATTTTTGTCAGTGCCTGACTGTAGATGTAACCAACGGTCTTATAAAATAAGAAACACAGAGCCAATTCAGAGAAGAAAGCCAAGAGGTCAGAGCTAAGAGCCTCACCCTTCCTGATTCAGGGATCCTCTCCAGCCAAGAGAGCTCTCCGAAAAGGACCTACTTCCTGTGTGTCTGTCTTTAAAGTCTTCCTGTTCTGCCTTCTCATTGGTTGTAAACCCAAACATGTGACTGCCTCGTCACTGCCTGAATGTACCGCCCTCCAGGTCCTTAAAGGCGTGCGCCACCGCCGCCACGCACTTGCTATATGGCTCTAATAGCTCTGACCCCCAGACAACTTTATTTATTAACATACAATTAAAATCACATTTCAGTACAAGTAAAATACCACCACACCTGACTTTAAACCATTCCTTTGTCTTCTTAAAGTCACTTAAAAGTAATTACTGTCTTTGTTTTTAAATCATTCCCTATACACTTTTTATTCTAGTTTTTTTGTTTTTTTGGTTTTTTTTAGGAAAAAACCTAAAATAAGAAAATGCCCTGAAGTTCCTTGTTTCTTCTTGAATTAATATGCATCTTTACACATAGAATAAAGAATAGAGTAGGGTTTTTATTTTTTCCTTTAAAAACTCTTAATCCAGGACATACTCATGTACATGTGTGAATGTAGAGGCCAGGGTTGATTTGGGGGTTTTTCAGTTGCTTTCTGCTATCATTCCAGTTACTTCTCTCTCCCTCCCCTTCTGTGTGTGTGTGTGTGTGTGTGTGTGTGTGTGTGTGTGTGTGTGTGTGTGTGTGTGTGTGTGTGTTGTAGATGTGTGAGTGGACAGGTATGCATGTCTGTGTGCACCAGAGCAAGCAGTCAAGTGTCTTCTGTCACTCTTTATCTTAGTGCCTGGCTGCAGGATCTGTCATATACCAGAAACTCACCTTTCTGGCTAGCTGGTCGGCCAGTGAGTTCTTAGCACCTACCGGTTTCGGATCCCCAGTGCTGGGGTGAAAGGCATGTGCAGGGGCTTTCTCCATGAGCACTGGGAACTGGAACCCAGGTCCTCATGCTTGTGAAGCTAATGCTTTTCCCATGGAGACACATAGTAGCCCCCACCGTCTGGAGATGATGTCTCTCACTGGACCTGGAGCCTACTGAAGGGGCTAGACTAACCAACAGACCTCAGCGATCTCCTGTCTCTGCCTCACTGGGTTGACAGTATGACCTGAGGGTTGCAGATGTGCTTCCCCGTGCCTGGCTTTCTCTGTGGGTGCTAGGGATCTGTCCTCGGGGCCTCAACTTAGCACTTCACCAACTCAGGCGCGCCCCACCCCCACCCCTTTAAGATTGTTTTTAAAATAATTCAGTTGGTTTTATTGAAAAACTTTCATCCATGTGTTGCTCTTGCCTCAAAGTTAAATAATAAATTCCTTTTGAAATTCATCAGTTTGTAATACAGTGTTTTAAATACTTTAGACCCAATTGCATTCCATTTATTCATTACCATCAGTTTGAGGCAAAGAGCCCCACTTGTGAGCCCTTGGGAAATCCTAGTTTTTGTGCATCATAGTCTGTGCTTAGCTCTTCGAATTAAGAAGTAGGAACAAACAGACACAGTCTCTGCCTTTATGTCATTTATTGTGAAAAGCAGTTAGAGTCTCTTACTGAAAGTATAATGCCTATCCATACAGTTGAATGTAAATATAAAATGTAATAAGAATCAAAATCACCTCTGAATTTATGTTGTGTATTTTCCCTTCTGTAATAATATTACTTGTAAATAAATACCCAAAAATTCATTAATTTCGAATTTGGTTTTCTTTGTTGGCCATTTACAGTGTAGTAAGGTGAAGGAAAAGAATACAAGTCCTTAAACTCTGTGCTCAAAAAAAAAATGCTGTTCACTTTATAAGGGACAAGGGATGCTAGCACGCATTGAGCTTCTAAGAGAACATCATGTGGGACGTTGTAGACAAGAGATTGGTGACAGTGAATCAAAGAAAGCACAGGTGGTGATGGGAAGGAAAAGCCTTTGTAATGCTCCTCTCACTTCCCTCTTTCTTCTTACAAGATCCTTCTTGATGAGCTGTCTTCTACTAAACACTGGGCATCCATGCATGTCTCAGACCACAGTGGATTTCACTATCGCCAGTTTTTGTTGAAGTCTTTGATTAGCCAGACTGCGATGGACACTTCTATACTGCAGCAAAACTCTTTGAAAAATGAGCCAAAAGATGAAGAAGCAACAGCTTCAACAGAGGAACCGAGGGTAAATCTTACCCAGCTCCTAGAAGAAGAAGTAGACTTCTGCACAGATCTTATTGATTCCTATCCAGGACACGAAACCCTTTGGTGTCATAGGTAAGAGAAGAGAAAATCCATTTCCTCTGATTAACTGGCTGTGTCCTTATGAGACTGCAGAACCTGTTATAGCTGACTTCTGTCTGTGAACGTAAATATGGTCATCTGATTTCCTGACTGAGAAAGGGCTTTTGTTCATCATACCATTACCATTGTTAATATGAGGTTTCTCACACACATCTTTGCTTGCCTGTGGTTTAGGTTCACCCTTAAGTATACAACAGAATGACTTGTGTTACCTCCAAAATAGTCCAGAAACAAAACAAAACATAAAAATGTTTCATAATTCTTTGGAGAGCCTGACAGTTAGCATATCAGGATTGAGTGTTACCATGGGTTTTTAAGAAAAGTAAAATATTCCAGACCATTTTGATGCAGTCACGATTGAGACTAATGATTAGACCATGGGTAGAAGGTAAGCTTTATCGTTTTCCCTGCTCTAGTGGTCCGCACATTAATTATCTTAAGTATGCCAACAATCAGGAAGGCCAGCAGGTGTATTAACCTGGGTTTTGAGTACAGTTGATCCTATAAACTTCATCCTGGAATGAAGTCCAGGTGAGTTAACACTTTGCTTCCTTTATTTTGGATCTTTATCTATTTGGAAGTATCTCCGTCTGTCTAAGTCCCCAGTCTACTTCAGGTTGTAGGATTCAGTCTAGAAACAAAAGACTTGTCTGTACTAGGCAGGATAAAGATTGTAAAGTCTGTACTTCCTGAGTTACTGAGTCCCCACCCCTTTTTCCAGTCTAGTCTTTCTCATGGACTGCTTAGCTGGTCTGTTAGCTGCTAATCCACACTAAGTACAGGAAGGCCGACATTATCTTTCCTTTTTGTAGACCTTCATGAGTAGACAGTGATCTTTTCTCTTCACAGCAAGGCCGCCTTAAGAAAGACAGGACGTGAGGCTGCTATTAGCGACAGTGTTGTTCTGTTGTACCTCCTCTTCACAGTAGCAAGGCCTGGAGACTTCAGACATTGAATGAATGATGAGATATAACAGCTTAGAACCTCATCTGTCATGTCAGAGTTTGTGTAGCAGATGTGTGCCCCATGAAAACTGGGGATCATGCAGAGCAGGTTTCATTTTAATAAGCAATTCCAGGTGATAACTGCTCGTAGATTGAAAACCGGAGTGGTATCTTTTATGTGCTTTGCTCAGAGCCTAGCATATCTCCACCGAATACTGATATGTAAGACTAAAGTGGAGGTTTAGGAGAGAGCTTAAATAAGACCAACTGCCACAAGTGTGTTCTTCGAGTTTTGAAAAAGACTAGGGGCTGATGGGATGGCTCAGTGATTAGAGGCGCTTGCCAGTGAACCTGATGGCCCAAGTTCCATCCCTAGAAGTTGGAACATAGAACTTGGTAGAATGAGAGAACTGACTTCTGTACCTACATCTAACACACACACACGCATGTGCATAAATAAATGCAATAGAAGTGTCTTCAGAAAGGACTAGATAGAGGCTATGAACTATGCCTCTAGTCTCGAGGAACTGTACCTCGTTTCTGGATTACTTCTAAGATTCTCAATGAAGTTGGTATTTTGGTTTATATAATTATTTATGGAGAATATTAAGCTTTTATTGTTTCTAATTCATGTTAGAATTAGAACTGAAAACTCACTGTGATCTGAGTAAATGTTTACTAAAAAGTCTTTACAGCAAGACTGTTTTCTCACAAATCAGCAGTGAGGGTTGAAACCCTGAGCTTTCAAGTCACTTGTCTCCTTTCCCCAGACAGGAGGAAAGGATTATGAACTGGGTGTAAGCTAATACTATATATTTTTATATTATCCACTTTAAAGTATTGCCTGGAAATCTTTAGTTTTGTGATGATGTTCTTTCTTCCATCCCCATCCCCCATCCCCCATCACAGGCGGCATGTTTTCTACCTTCAACATCATTTAAATGGCAGGTTTCCTCCCAGTTTGACTCACCTGTCACCTGCAGACTGCTCTGGGGGGGCTTTGAATGACTTGCACCTGGTTCCAGCAAGCCCTCAACTATCTCAGGCAATGGAAGTGGACGGACTGAATGACTCCAGCAAACAAGGCTATTCCCAGGAAACCAAGCGACTGAAACGGACCCCAGCTCCAGACTCTCTAGGCCTAGAGATGGAGCACAGGTTTATTGATCAAGTATTATCCACTTGTCGGAATGTAGAGCAAGCCAGGTATGCCAATGCATACAGGAAATGGCTGGTGACTTTGAGTCAGTGAAAGGGGTGGATTCATCCTAAGAAATTCCCCTTTTAGTGCAATATTGCTTTCCTTTCTCAATGCCATAGTTGCATGAACTGACTGGCTAACTATGTATTCTTCTTCATCTAGAGCTTAAAAGTCTGTGAGAAACCTTTTGTTTTATTTATTTTGTTAAGAGCCGGCATTCCTTTGGGTACAGAATAACTGTATAGTTCCTTCTTGCTACACAATGAGTCTTAATTTTTTTTTTTTTTTCTGTTTGATTCCATGCCCTTTCTGTTTCAGTATTTGGACTTCTCGTTTGGTTCTTGAGATTGGTTCGCACACCTTTACCCACCTCAGTTCCGTTGCTACATAAGCAATTTCTTTAGAAATTGACAATTTAAGTTGCAGTTCAGCTTAAGAATATTAGTACCTGTGCAGAAGGACTTGATCTAATTGCAGTTTTGAGAATAAAATGGCTAGGTGGGTGGATATGTGAAAATGTGAGCCACCTCTTTCTCAAGCATGTTCTCCAGTTACCGACTCAGAGAAGAACCAAAGCCAGGAGTGTTAGAATTTATATAGAAAAAAAAAATGCTTCCAATGTAATCTATTTTTAAATGATTATTTAAAAGAAACTAAACTAATTTAAGAGTTTATGTAATTGTAGTACTGGAAAATTATTTTTATTACTAGTTTTGATAGATTGTTTTTACCTCATATTTGGTATATGCCAAAACAGTAAGTCAGCCCTTATAAAATAAATTGTTTTTTTTTAAAAAAAAAAACAGAAATGCCACTTTTAGTTATTACTACTTTTTTCCTTCTAAAATCACTCATGAAAAGTGGGAGAAATCTACATAGAAATGTAGTCCTGGAAAGCTTCCTTTTTAAAAATTTAAGTTACTGAGGTTATACTGGATAAACTGCAAAGTTTTTGTCAAGTGGCTAGTCAGAGTTTACTGGGAAAATCCAAGGAGGAAGACTAGTTTTGAGCATTAATTCAATTTTTACTTTTAAAATCAAACAAAACACTTTGATACTAAAATCATCAGGGATAAGTACCAAAGTCCATATAGCTATATCTCAATAACAAGGGCTGTGTTTTTCAGGTTGGTGAAGTGGGGTGGAAATGGGTCAAGTACCGTCTCCGTCTCTCTTCTCCATCCACCCCTTCGGATGAGCTGTGATTCCCCTGTGCATCCCTTCTCTTTATCCATCACTCACTGGTCCGTATTTTTTTCTCATGTGTCCTTTTTGTCAGGGATGCCCACTGAAGCTATTATCTCTCTTTGCTCGATGAATTTAATACCTGTCTATAAACACAGGAAATATGAATAAGAGATGCCACTCTCATACTCCCTTTTAATGGTTGTCTTGGTTTGGGTTTCTATTGCTGTGGCGAAACACTATGAATAAAAGGAACTCGGAGAGGAAAGGGTTTATTTTGCCTACGCTTCTGGGTAACAAATAGTCCATCACTGAGGCAATAACTCAAGCAGGACAGGAGCCTATAGGTAGGAGCTGATGTAGAGGCCATGGAGGAGTGTTGCTTACTGACTTGCTCTCCATGGCTTGTTCATCTGGCTTTCTTACAGCACCCAGGAATGCCAGCCCACAGAGTGGCCCCATTCACAGTGATCTGGGCCCTCTCCCATCAATCACTAATTAAGAAAATCTCCTATAGGCTTGTTTGTAGCCCAATCTTATGGAGGCACTTTCTCAATTGAGGTTCTCTCTTCTCGGATGAATGTAGCTTGTGTCAAATTGACATGAAACTAAGCCTGCACAGTGGTAGAAGCTGTCTCTTGTCTGCGCGTGCAGAATGTAAGCAATGATTACAGAAATAAGCGCAGCCCTCATGTTTGGCGTGTTCTCTTTCACAGTTGGTACTCCGCAGTGTAGGTAGAAGGACAAGGGGAAAGGCAAACCACTCTGGTCTCACCCTAGTGGGAACTTGCACTTGAGGTAGGCACACTTCATTAAGAGGGGAAAAAAAAAACCTTTAACTTGGGCATCATGGTCTTATGGGGTGGCAGCCTGCTGAGCTGAGTGACGCACTTAGGATACTAGAAAAAACATTTCTACTGACAGCAGTACAAAGATCTTACTCTCTTGGAGCAGTTATTTTTACTGTTTTACAGTATTTAGATGATAAAATACTCGACATTGTGAACATAATTCCACAGCCTTCTATATACAAAGCATAGTTTGAATCATCAAATACCTCAAGTTCTACATGGGTCTCTATAGGAAAACAGTTACATGATGTTTAGCTCCTCTGAGATTGAGTAGAAATGACCCAGCAGTTCCTGCTGCCGAATCCTGTCTTTTTTTGGTATTACCTTTTCCCCCAGCATCCTTTTTAGTTTCCCAAGGAATAGGACTTGCATTTGATGTAGTGTGTCAGGACATGAGCATAGGCTATGCTGTATGAACATCAACTAAATTTGTATAGTGTCCATGCCTTTTTATATCTCCTACTCAGCGTCTTGGTCATCTTTGGTGTTAGCTGCCTTCTTATGTCTGCCAAGGCTCAGCCCACCCCTCCCAGAAGCCATGGAGTCCTCTAATATACCATGGTCTCTTCTTCCTAGTATGGTTGGAAGTAGGTAGTAAAACTACAGATATCTAAAAGATCCTGTTTGTGTGCGGCTTTTCTGTGCTACATTATTTCTGAAGTCAGCATTTGCAAGAGTTAGTTCACAGGACTTAGGATTTCCCTGTATATTTTCCCTGAGCGTTTACCGTTTACCCTCTCTAGCAAGCTACTGTGTCTTTGACCAAATGAACTAATGCAATAGAAAGAACATGTATAATTTCGGGGCTTGTGTAGTCATATTCTTCTGTACATAAGTTGTTGATAAAAAGAAAAGATGGTTTAAACTGACACATTGCATCTGATTTTTATTGGGAAATTAGCAGGCCATTATACCATCCTATGGATCAGGAAAGCTACTGAAGCGCAAAAAGTGGTAAGATCTGGGGCTTCTGCCACAGCCCCGCCCTACCTTTCTTAAGTCTGTGTATTTTGGTAATGTATTTTCAGGTTGTATCATATGCCTTGCACATTATAAGGACTTAATAACTATTAAGTTGACTAATTCACTCTTTGAAGAAGGGAAAGATTGGTCATGAATGATGGAATCATGATCAGGAAATTAATGAGTTATAAGTGAGTGATGTGGGCTAGCTTCGTTAATACTTAAGGGGAGCTCCCACATGTAAAATTAGTGAGATTTAAATTTGGTGTCTTCATTACCTTGTTTAGACTTGTTAACTCTCAGCCGTGAGATGGAGCTCTAAAATTCTCTTAATTGTTTGTCTACATTAAAAACTCTCAGAGTCAATAAGATCCATTTGATAAGAATATTGTTTTCTTTCACTAGATGATGTTGAAGAGCAGATCTTGCATACAGAGCCAGAGGCACATTTGAGCAGCTAGAATAATGCTTGGATTTAGAGAATTGTTAGTCTGTATCTGTACAGGAGTCATCCCTATCCCCAACTTGAACTGTGGACCTTTTAGGTACTCCTTGAACCTATGTGAGCCATTTTTTAAACCTAAGGATTTTATATCTATTACTAACCCCTGTTACTTCTATAGAAGCTCTGGGCCCTAACATTTCTTACTCTCGTGGCACAGTTCTAACTTAAGCTAAACGCTTCATTAATTCTTTCCCTTTGTTTTTGCTGGTGCTGAGGATCAGGCTCAGATTTATTAATCAGTCATAGAATTAAATGTGTACAGATTATCACCAAAAGCCACTTATAGTTTCCAATAAGGGCTACGTGACATACAATGTAGAAGCAAGCTTTTGAATTTATATGCAGCTGTCTGTAGAAAGTATATGTGGTAGACATTGTCATTTAGCTAATGCTCAGATCCTCTCAGTTCATGCGGGGTGTGTGTGTGTGTGTGTGTGTGTGTGTGTGTGTGTGTGTGTGTGTGTGTGTGTGTAGAGCTTACTACAAATTATCAGTCTTGCAGTTTTCTCTTACACAGCACAAGGTTGTGTCTGGCATGGGCCAAATGTAACTTAGGCATGGAACCAACACCATACAGGCATCCCAGTTGGCTCCTTAAGTTAGGGAAGATTCAGCTGTAAAATGAATAATTCTCTTTTTTTATTTTCAAAAAAGCTTCTTGGGTTTACTGTTATTTTGCTGTTAGAAAATTGTACTTTAAATTTTTTAAATGCTTTATTCTAAAAATTTTGAACATTGTAAAAACCATATCTTTTGTCTTAAATAAAACTGCAAACCCCAGCAATATGTATGCTCCCCCACCCCCGACACACATGATCTGTAATGAGCTCTTGCTTATTAAAGAAGCATGTTGGGGTACCAGGAAACTTCAGCAATTCGGTCTCATAGAAGCAGTGAGCAAGAAAAAGCCACCCCAAGAATTCCATATCCTGTCACGCAGTGTCTTCTTTAAAGTAACTGTATATCATGTTAACTTGAGTGCCTTTCTTACCTCGATGTGGGTACAAGGTTGTCTTACACTGAACTCTTTTGTTTAGCTAGTTAACAAGATAGAAATGTATCAGACAGCTCGTGATGCAGTGGGATACTGACTGGAGAAGACAGGATCTTGTGACGTGTATTTCATTAACTGGCAATTTTTGAGTGCCCTTCCAAGAACACCGAGACTTAGAATTCGTTCTTTCCCTTTGACCACTAAAGTTTTGAGTTTGGGAGGCATCATGATTACAGGGCAGTGTGTGCGCAAAGCCTGTACCACCCACCTGTGCTCCAAAGGAAGCAGGCGCCCGGAGCACCTTAGAGAGCAGGTGCTTGTCCCAAGGGACCCTTCGCCTTACTCAGAAGACCTTCCCTCCCTCCCTCCCTCCCTCCCTTCCTCCCTCCCTCCCTCCCTCCCTCCCTCCCAAATTCAGGCATGGGGTAGGTCAGTTAAAAGGGGAAAAATAGGACTTGCTAATACCAAAAGAAAAGTGGTAAATACTAAAATGATTTTTCAAATTTTATGTATTTGTGTGTGAAAGGGGAGGGTAGGACCATCATATTTCATGATAGCAAATAACTTTTCTTTAAAGATTCCAAAGTGTTTTGCAGAGAATTCTTGAGTAATATATCTCTTACTACGTTGTGTTCATAATTGATGCAGAAACCAATGTATCTATCCTGTGTGGATTTAGGATGTGAGGGGAATTCTCAGGCTCTCGACTTTGACTTCTTTACCCTCTCAGGCCGTCCCTGTTACCGTGGAACAACCGAAGACTGTTCACTTACGAATACAGGGCAGTTAAGTTGCTCCGCTGATGGAACAGTATGCTTCAAAGGCTATTAACTGTATGACGCTTGTGCTTTCTGAACAACAGCACAAGTCACAAAGCTGAGCCTGACATTGTTAGTTCATTGTTGTTCCTCAGGGTGTAGAAGATTTCATCAATTTAGAACAAAATTTTATATTTTGTGGCCAAAACAAAAAGGCAAAATATGCTAAGTACATTGCTAGCTATTGAACGTTAGTATGTAAAAGCTAATACATACTGTCTTGCTGCTTGTATTGTGAATGTTATCATAAATGTCACCCATGAAGAGAATTTCTGTGTTCTCTTTCCACTTTGGGGAAGTGGAGAAAATTCTGTTTTGTTTCATTTGACACTCTCAGCCTTTAGAAATCATACTGAGGAAAACAATTACTGTTGTTTTGCAGATTGACAGCTGTTTTGATTCTAAGACTTCTTTTTCTCTGTGAGTGTGAGATGCAAGACCCAGACATGTTCAGGGCATCACATAATGCCTGCCATGTTGTGGGAAACCAGCAAGTCAAAGCTGATAAATACTGGAGAAGGAATATTAACATCTCTCTCTCTCTCTCTTATTATTGTCCACATTCTTAGTTGTGAGTGAACCATACTGTCTTGTATGAAAAATACATTATCAAGTTTAAATATAAAAGCAAGATTTTATAACATTGCAACCAGAGTTGAGGTTCTTTTTAGGTATCTAAATTATGTGTGTGCACATACACATATCTAAAGAGATCTGAAGCTTAGACATACATGATTTTTTTAACAAAAGATTTTATCCCATGAATTTTATTTTTATATTTGCTCAAAGTGTTCTTATTTAAGGTAATTTTCTTGACAACTTCCTCTAGCAAAGTTGGAAACTGACCTAAGTGTCCATTTGCCCTATTTAAATATTTGTGAAAACAGTTTGGGGTTGGGTGGTTTATAAACCATATTATTCTGCTTTTCTTCCATCTCTTTAAGGAATCAGCCTTCATTTCATGCCTAGCAGTCACTTTCCTCACAGCACTGTGCAGCATACAGCAGATACCTGTTCATGTTTATAAAGTGATGGATAATGCATACGAGGTATTTTTTAATGTGCCATGGGGAAGTATGCTAATGTGGACTCTCCTGGAAACTCATTTATTCCCACCTCCAATGTCATGTATTTGAAGCAGGCAGCTTTTTGTTGTTAAAGAGTGGTATAGATGGAGTGCAGATATGAAGTACTTACTCAGCTATTGTTCTCACATCTAACAGCTCTCACCAAAGAGACTGTTGCCCTCTCTTCACTGGAGAATATATTTGTAGAGTGATGTGTTGAACCCTGAAAAATGCTATTACATGACATGAATTATTACATGTTTGTTTAGGCTGCAGTTAGAAACATTATAAAAAATATTGTTTAATAAAACCATGGTCTGAAGATAGGAGCTATAAAAAGTTTAAGCAGTAGCTTGTTGTGCAAGACACATTTAATAAATGTCTTAAAATATTGGCAGCTGAACTCTTAAAAGAGCTATGGTCATCTTTTGCAGCCCGTGGATGTATCAGCCTATCTAGCACTTTCTGGCAGAGGCTCTTTATTTTGCCCTAATTCTCAGTTGCTTTCCGGTGTCATAAATGTGATAATGATAAATAGGAAGTTGTGCTGGATGACTTCACCTAATTTTCTCAGACTATGTTTGACATGATGAAGAAATTTTTATCAATGATACTGTAGTTTGAGTATCAATTCAGATGACCTGATGCAAAAGATTTAAACAGTTTTGAAACAAGCATTCCTACCTGAACTGTGAGGAAGCAAGTGTGTCATGCAAATGTCAATGGCTTTGCCTTCCAGTGAGCTTGCTGATGCATGAGCATGTCACTGGCTGTAGGCAGCACTGTTTTGGGTGTATTTTGTTCTAGGAGAGTAATGGAGTGTACCCTAGACTAGATCACATTACTGTTTCTGAGCTGGAAACAAAAGATGAGATATTCTAAGTACACCAAATATTTCTATACCGTTACAGAAACAAAGAGAAAGACTTTAAAAGTACAGCAATGACTTTTTCTAAACTTGGGGTTTTGTATGCTAGTTAATTGCTTAGTTTAACATTCTAAAACTGAGGGACTTCCACTGAAGAGATAGATCTCAGATACTATATTCTACTATTAGAAGTCGCCATCTGTGTTAAGTTTACATTGCTCGTAGATTTCCCTAAAAGAGCATTCAGTAGGCTGCAATTAACACTGGGCGCGTTCCTGTGATTCAAGGTGCACCGTCAGATCCCAAGCATTAAGTATATGTTCGTCTAGCTTGTTTTCTGGGAGACGCTGTCTTCACTGATAGTACTTCCTGCTATCACAGTCTGCATCGAAGTCCTTTAGCTCTTATGCATAGCAATCCACAGTTTTAAAAGGATTAAATCTCTTGTGATGTATACCCTGGAGGGAAATAAGAATAAATCTTGTAAAAAGGTATGTGCAAAGTACACATATGGTATTTGGGGGCTTAGTATCCTGGACTAATGGAATTATGCTAAATTCTAAGGTTATCACTTGGACTTTTGGCTAAGATTAAATGTAAATTCTAAGAGTAACATAATCATGTATTGTTTATGACTGTAGTGTTCAATGGAAA